CGCAACCTCCGCCTCCTGGGTTCAAGTGATTCTCCTGCCTCAGCCTCCTGAGCAGTTGGGATTACAGGCATGTGCCACTATGCTTGGTTAATTTTGTATTTTTAGTAGAGATGGGGTTTCTCCATGTTGGTCAGGCTGGTCTCCAACTCCTGACCTCAGGTGATCCACCTGCCTTGGCCTCCCAGTGCTGGGATTACAGGTGTGAGCCGCCTTGCCCAGCCTGAGATTATTTTTTTTTAAGACAGAGTCTCGCTCTTTCGCCAGGTGCCAGGCTGGAGTGCAGTGGTGTGATCTCAGCTCACTGCAACCTCCGCCTCCTGGCTTCAAGCAATTCTCCTGCCTCAGCCTCCTGAGTAGCTGGGACTACAGGTGGATGCCTCCACACCCAGCTAATTTTTGTATTTTAGTAGAGACGGAGTTTTACTATGTTGGACAGGATGGTCTCGATCTCTTGACCTCATGATCCACCTGCTTTAGCCTCCCAAAGCGCTGGGATTACAAGTGTGAGCCACTGCACCCGGCCGAGAATATTCTTAACAAAAATTCTCATTTTCTTTTGGAGTAGAGATGTAGTTAAGTTCCCCTACCCTCAAAACATCTATCCCTATACCCCAAATATCTCTCTTGTCCTGGTCCAGAGTGTATCTGGGCTTTTATTGAGCCCCCTCACTGCCTTACTAGGCCCCAGTATGAACATGACTAAAAGGCTGTTCAGTTAGCTTCAGAATGTAGGAAATTTAACAGTATTTAGTTATTTGTCATCAGTCAGGAGACTAGCTTTATCTCTGTATTTTTGAGGAATGGGGATGGGTACAATCAGGAAGCTGTAGGAAGAGAGGATATTATTTGTCTTGGAGAAGAGTATATAAAAAGCCTCCGAGACCATGATATGCCGTTTCGTTTTTGGGACTGAAAGGCAGATCACTGTAGGAAGTTTGGGATATGAGAATTTTCTAGTTATAAAAGAATGAGTTCCAGGCCTGGCGTGATGGCTCATGCCTATAATCCCAGCACTTTGGGAGGCCAAGGTGGGCAGATCACCTGAGGTCAGGAGTTTGAGACCAGCCTGACCAACATGGAGAAACCCCATCTCTACAAAAATACAAAATTTAACAAGTGTGGTGACATGCGCCTGTAATCCCAGCTACTTGGGATGCTGAAGCAGGAGAATTGCTTCAACCTGGGCAGTGGAGGTTACAAGATCATGCCATTGCACTCCAGCCCAGGCAAGAAGAGGGAAACTCCATCTCAAAACAAAAACAAAGAGTTTCAACATATAACATCTTTGGAACTCTTATTTTATGACTGATATATGTGAGTGCCAGAGACCAACTGTCCCTATTCATCTGAGACGGAGGAGTTTCTAGAGGCATGGGACTTTTCAGTGCTAAAACTGGGATAGTCTCAGGCAAACTGGGATGATGAATCCACCCTAGTACCTGATTCTTTGCTACATGCTTCGTATTTATTCTTATTTAATCCTCCCAAAGGTCCATGATAGATATTCAGGCTAGGTACAGTGGCTCATGCCTGTAATCCCAGCACTTTGGGAGGCCGAGGCGGGACGTTCACTTGAGGTTAGAAGTTTGAGACCAGATTGGCCAACTAGGTGAAACCCCATCTCCACTAAAAATACAAAAAAATTAGCTGGGCGTGGTGGCGCACATCTGTAATCCCACCTACTAGAGAGGCTGAGGCAGCAGAATTGCTAAAACCTGGGAGTCAGAGGTTGCAGTGAGCTGAGATCCTGCCACTGCACTCCAGCCCGGGCAACACAGCGAGAGCTTGTCTCAAAAAGAAAAAAAAAAACCCATAGGTATTCAAGGTAATGTAGCTAATTAACAGAGCTGTGAACTGAACCACATCTATCTGCAGAGCCAGAGCAATTAATCATTTACACTAACTCTTCAAAAGGGTGATGAAAGAGAATCCTTTGATATGAGAACAGACTCAACGTGGGGAGAGGGTTGGAATGGATTTGTAATGAAATCTCTCTGTCTTGGTAGGTTCATCCTGACAAAAATCATCATCCCCGGGCTGAGGAGGCCTTCAAGGTTTTGCGAGCGGCTTGGGACATTGTCAGCAATGCTGAAAAGCGAAAGGAATATGAGATGTAAGTTGGAGATGGGAAATTGTCAGATAATGGTAAATGAAAAGTCCTCAGTAGGAGAGGCATCTGGACTTGGGGTTGGAGGCTCTCTGAGGTGGAGAGAACTGAAGTCACTTGTCTTTTTAGCTAGACAGGGGCCTCAAGAGGCCAACTGATGTGTTTCCCTTTGTTCCTCCCCCAATACCTTCTGACTTACAAAGCGTTTCTTCTCTTAGGAAACGAATGGCAGAGAATGAGCTGAGCCGGTCAGTAAATGAGTTTCTGTCCAAGCTGCAAGATGACCTCAAGGAGGCAATGAATACTATGATGTGTAGCCGATGCCAAGGAAAGCATAGGTATAAAATAGGAGGAGAGGGATGGGACAATCACAGCTCAGGCATTAAGTAACCAAAGATCTTCCTAGAATTACATCTGTATCTCATAATTAGTAAAAAGACCCTTAAGTTCCTACCTTTGTCATATTGTCAAGAGACTGACGAATTGAATTAACGCTAAGAAGAAGTAGCTTTAAGATAGAAGGTTGAAGGCCGGGCGCGGTGGCTCAAACCTGTAATCCCAGCACTTTGGGAGGCCGAGGCGGGTGGATCACGAGGTCAAGAGATCGAGACCAACCTGGTCAACATGGTGAAACCCTGTCTCTACTAAAAATACAAAAAATTAGCTGGGCATGGTGGCACGTGCCTGTAATCCTAGCTACTCAGGAGGCTGAGGCAGGAGAATTGCCTGAACCCAGGAGGCGGAGGTTGCGGTGAGCCGAGATCGCGCCATTGCACTCCAGCCTGGGTAACGAGCGAAACTCCGGATCAAAAAAAAAAAAAAAAAAAAAAAAAAAAAAAAAAAAAAAAAAAAAAAAAAAAAAAAAAAAAAGATAGAAGGTTGAAGGCATATGAAATAACTAAGTGGAGGTAATTCGAGTTGTTTGAGCCCTATTTGTGAATAATGATGAGACTACTAGCAATGCTCTAGGTAGGCTTGACAAATTATTAAGCAACTATCCTGTTGTTGGTTGCAGGAGGTTTGAAATGGACCGGGAACCTAAGAGTGCCAGATACTGTGCTAAGTGTAATAGGCTACATCCTGCTGAGGAAGGAGACTTCTGGGCAGAGTCAAGCATGTTGGGTCTCAAGATCACCTACTTTGCAGTGATGGATGGAAAGGTGTATGACATCACAGGTACTCTACTGTCCTCTAGAAATACAGCTTTACTTCCTGATCTTTTATGTGATCTAAACTGCGAAGTTTTGGCTATTTCTCATGTTTATAGAATGGGCTGGATGCCAGCGTGTAGGTATCTCCCCAGATACCCACAGAGTCCCCTATCACATCTCATTTGGTTCTCGGATTCCAGGCACCAGTGGGCGGCAGAGGTAGGTGGTATTTCTATCAATAATTTATCAACTATTTCAGTTTTGAATATGGTTTCAGATGACCTACTTTAGGAAATCTAGGGGCCTTGTTTTCTAGGAAGTTTGGGAACTGATAAGTATATTTAACTTAGGTAACCATGTAACTCCCAACATCTCTTGCCTTATCATTTCTTCTGTTTTATCTCAGAGCTACCCCAGATGCTCCTCCTGCTGATCTCCAGGATTTCTTGAGCCGGATCTTTCAAGTACCCCCAGGGCAGATGCCCAATGGGAACTTCTTTGCAGCTCCTCAGCCTGCCCCTGGAGCCACTGCAGCCTCTAAGCCCAACAGCACAGTACCCAAGGGAGAAGCCAAAACGAAGCGGCGGAAGAAAGTGAGGAGGCCCTTCCAACGCTGATGATACCCCTTCTCTTTCCTCAAATCAACGTCAGGGAGTCAAAAGGATGTATACAGCACAGGATGGAGTTTGATTTGTCCCTCCTCTCCCAGCACCCAGGAACTGAATCTTTTTTTTTTTTGAGATGGAGTCTTGCTTTGTTGCCCAGCTGGAGTGCAGTGGCACAATCTCAGCTCACTGCAACTTCCATCTCCTGGGTTCAAGCAATTGTCCCATCTCAGCCTCCCAAGTAGCTAGGACTATAGGTGCGCACCCCATGCCTGGCCAGGCTAATTTTTTTTCCTGTACTTTTAGTAGAGACAGTGTTTTACCATGTTGCCCAGGCTGGTCTAGAACTCCTGAGCTCAGGTGATCCACCTGTCTTGGCCTCCCAAAGTGCTAGATTACAGGCATGAGCTACCGCGCCCGGCCTGAATCTTGTCTTTTGACAATACCAAAGAAATAGGGGGTAGCTAGAGTAAAGAACCTAGGGCCTGGACCTTGGCTGGACAATGTAACCCTTTTGAGGTGTGGGAACTGGGTATTTCCCTGGGGTCTGTATGCCTTTCTCTTGTCATTTGCTTTTAGAGCACATGACACTTTTTCCTGCCCTTTAAAGGTACAAGTCTATCTTCTTTCCTGACCCATTTCAGGAGGGAGTCCTCTCCTTTTCCCTGATATAATAGTTAAAAGACAGAACAAGAAAGCATATAGCCCTAATGATAGGAGATACATAGAGTTCAGAGAGTGGAAACTGAATTTTCCCTTGACTTTCACTTTGTGGGTAAATCACCCAATTTCAAGCTGTTTTCTGCAAGGATGGCCAAAATTAATCATTTTTAAAAAGTAGATTCATGCCCACTGCCCTTGGATGAGGGGGAAGGATATGGGGGTTCCCAGAAGCCCCCTTGTGATCCAAGGGTTTGTATTTTTTTTTAAGTTTGTTCATATTTGTATGTACATATCTATTTAAAGCCAGGGGATTATCTTTCTATAAATGTATAACTGGCAACCTGTTATCTTCCCTCTTTTTTTTTGCCCATACAGCTGGAGCCCTTTTTCTCATTTGAGAATCTGTTCCCTATTAAGTGTTAAGTTTAGAATGAAGAGCACCTCTTACTGGACCACAGTAGAGGGGATTGGGGAATTGCTTTAAGTTTTTTACATTAGGTCAGTATTCCATCTTCCCCCACCCCTGCCAGCCTTATGAGGACAGTTCTCTACCCTTCCTGCTGATTAAACTGCAGCCATAGCTAAAAAAAATTATTAGAAGAAAAATACGCAGCAAAACAGAGCTGGAAGGTGGTAGGTGTAGAAGATATGGAAAGATGTAATCACCAAACAGGCTGCCCAAATGGCTTCCTGCTATGGAGTAGAGTGATCTGGCCCTTACCTCACCGGGTAAAGAAACTTGCCGCTAGCAGGACTGGGCCTAGGATCCCCATTTGCCAATCTCTTCTTTTCTTGGGAGTCTGGGAAAGGTTGCATAGTTCTCAGGCTTTCAAGATGTAGAAGATGGTATGGAGAAGAGAAAGATTTTTTATAGTCCTCTGTTTCAGTGCCTTCCCCATGCCCATGGAGCTGTCCCAAAACCCATCCCTCAGTATTTATTGATGCCGAAGACACGAACCCCATGGAACTGGGGCAACTTTGGCAGCAGAACACTGAGCAATGAGGCTGTGTTGATGAGGAAGTGTGCAACATCATACTTGGTATAGAAGCTGGCCAGGAGATAGCTGGGGAGAGAAAAAAATAGGGTGAGTGAGGGTAGCCTTCTCTATATGTTTTTTTTTTTTTCTTTTCTTTTCGAGACAGAGTCTCACTCTATCACTCAGTCTGGAGTGCAATGGCACAATCTCAGCTCACTGCAACCTCTGCCTCCCAGGTTCAAGCTATTCTCTTGCCTCAGTCTCCTGAGTAGCTGGGATTACAGGCGCGTGCCACTGCGCCCAGCTAATTTTTGTATTTTTAGTAGAGACGGGGTTTCAACATCTTGGCCAGGCTGGTCTCGAATTCCTGACCTTGTGATCCACCCGCCTTGGCCTATATGTTTTTTTTAAGAGGCAGTTCTCATTATGTTTCCCAGGTTGGAGTGCAGTGGCTATTCATAAATGTGGTAAGTGCAGTACAACCTCAAACTCCTGGGCTTAAACAATCTTTCTGCCATAGCCTCCCAAGTAGTTGGGACTCCAGGCATGCACTGCAGTGCCCTGTTCTTTCTCTTCTATTTAAAATGACCAGTTTTACTGTATGTAGTTCTAAATTATCTAAAAATATTCCAGCTATATCAACAGCATTTACTCTGGGGTTCAGGAGATAGTACCTTTAACTGGAGACTATAAATCAGTTTCTGTTCATTGTTAATGACATGGCAAATGACAGCTGAGGCTATTTCAGTCTGTCTGACTGTTAAGAGTCTTCTTTGCTTCTACTCCCTACAGTGCTTTTGAAGATTATTATCAGTTCTGCCTTTATTTACTTCTTTTGGCAGTGTAAAATCATTTGGTTTTACTTGGCTCTTATCTTAGTCCCTTCATTTTCTTACTACCAAGGAGGCAGCAAGGAATGCTTGATGACAGTATTGTCTTCTACATTTTATTGCTCTCTGTAGGCTTAGAACTAGTATACCATAATTTCTTCAAAGGGTTTTAGATGGGTAGCCTGCTTTTTAACAGCTTCCCTATGGGCCTTTCTGTCTGGCTCTTGGAGCTCTTTCTAACCCAGCATATCCCCATTTCCCTCACAGACTCACAGCACAATAGGAGAGATGCTCAGGAACTTGCGAGAAGAGGTAAACTGGAGCCCATAGTCCATTTGTTCCCAGTGTGTCAGTAGCCGAGCCTTTCCTTGGTCAGGAGTCTCAAAGGGTGTCCCTTTCACCATATGAAGAAAGATATACATAGCCTGGGAACAGGGAGGGTGGTAGTGTGAGGGGCAGAAAGTAGTTCTTCAGTCCAAGAATTATGTTAAGATCCCAAAAGGAAGATACAAATCCCCAAAAAATTGGTAATTTTATTTTGCTTGTGGTTGGGAAACTCTGGGATGGGTACAAGGGCATGGTTTAGAGCTCACCAGGTTGTGGATGACGTTGGTCAGGGTCCAGACAACAGGAATGCTGAAGAAAGGGATGCTGAGTAGAACCACATGTAGCAGTCCTACCAAGATGATGTAGGCCAGCCAGATGCCTCGGCTATTCATCACTCGAGTGTTGGGGTTTACTTCGCTGTGTGCCACCCCCACATTCATCCTAGCCATAATGGGGATCAGGTACGGTCCAACTCAGTTTTTTCTCAGAAACCTTTTTGAGCTTTCTCCCAGCTGTCTCTCAGATTCCCTGAACTCTATTGGGAATGAAGAACTTCCCCATCACGCAGAAAATAAAAACTGAAGACTTGGGGAAAACTTTAAAAGGCAAGAAGAATCCTCACTACATTTTAGAGACATAGTCATTTTTTCACTGATCTTTACGCTTCAACTGTAACATGAAGGTGTATGCGTAGGCTTGGGGCGCTCACTTCAGGGAGCAAGGGAAACAGGAGTATCTCACTTTCCTGAAAAAGTTGACCATGAAGAGGTCACACACACCCAGAATTCCAGGAGAATGTCATGGAATCATCAAAGAACCACTAAGAAGGGATGACAAGAGTAAAGCTCTAGTCCCAACCTTGTTCTCTGGGGCTTGTCCACCCTCTCTCACCTCCGTGGCATGTCAGCAGTCAGCATCCCCATTACTTCTCTCAAGCGTGGGGCACAACAACTTGCCCACGCCTTCTGGATTGGGTTAGGAAGGAACCTGAGCTCAACGTCTCGAGAGATGGAGCCTTAGCTGTGACTCCAGGGGCGGCAGTGATCATCTGAACTCGGCTTTTTAAAATTGTGGTAGCTCTAAAGCTGATGATGTCTGGTTAGGAAGCGGCTCTTGCCCGCCCCAGCCCCCCCGCCAGTTCCTTAAGCCCGCCCCATGCCCTCCCAGCTTCCTCCTCTCACGTTCGTCGGTTTTTTTGAGGGCTCCCTTCAGCATTCGTTTCTCAGCATTTAAGTCACCGCTCCCTCGGCGCTCCTTTCACCTCCCACCATATATTCTTAGCAACCTTTCCAGTCCTCGCAGCCCCTACCTGCCAGCTTCAGATCCCTGTCTGGTTATGAGCAAGGCGCCGGCTACCACACCTGAAGTCTCCAGGAAGTGACTCCTCTCCGTCTGCCCCTTCCCTATTGGAGGAACATAATCAGCGGTGTTACCACCCATTGGTTGGTGGTATGTGATGCCCACGCACAATTGGTTGCCATTTCTGTCGTTCGCAAGATACAGTGCCCGCCCCTCTCTCTGTCCCACCTTTTGAAAGAGGTGGGGAAAGCTGCCGAGAGGCGTAAGAGGGACGTCAGCCATAGACCAATGGGAAGAGCTGATGGTATGTAGTGGGAGCAAGAGTGACAGCGATTGGTCAGCCTTGCATCTCTACGCCTAAGGCGGGAGCTCCTGGAGGCGGAGGCCAAGGGTGGGGGCTTAGTGGAGTGAGGGGTAGCAAGATGGCGACCGAGACGGTGGAGCTCCATAAGCTGAAGGTACCGTTAATTGGGGAAGGGCTGAGTTGGACTTTTCTGGGAACTGAATTCTGCAGAGTGACTTGCGCCTTCTCCTACGTGTTCTCCTTGCAGCCTTTTCAACTTTGTTTCTCGGCTCCCGCCGTAGCTCTTTTGTGCCACCCTTCCACACTACGCCTCCCCTAATTTCCCATTTCTCCTCACGGTTTTACTGCTATATATTTTTTGTTATTTCTGTTCCCTTCGTCGTTGTATCGTCCGTCACCCTTGTCCACCAGGTTGTGTAAGTGCCTTCTACCTGTTATACACCTCGTTGCTCTTCTGGTCTGCATTACGTCAGTTGATCCCTCCTCTTTGCCCCACGTCGGACCCAGGATCCCTTTTTCTTCCCTGGGACGATGTTTCCAGCCTGTCTTCTGAAGCTGAGATTCGCCTATTAGCAGATGGTGGCATTTTTGTGTGTTTCTATTTGAATAGATCCCAGATACTCCCCTTTTCTAGGTGGGATTACGCCCCCAGGCAGAATTTTTAAACCAGGGAAAGGCCTCTCAGAAGATCGGTCTTACCTTAGAAGCCTGGGGTTGAGAGGCCTTGAGATAGATGTACATACACCTCAGATTTAAAAGTTTTCAAGTTCTCTCACGCGGTTCTCCACTTGCCAGCCTTCCTCACACACCATCTCCTACCACCAGAGAGAATTCATACTTGCAGTGTTTGGGAAAAACAATTCCAAGGTTAAGATTATCTCTGTTCCATTTCATATCTCGATGGGCCCTGCATCTCCTGGTGTTACCATTGGGTGACACTGAATCACAGAAGCTATTTTAAATTGTCTTATGAGAATCTTGGTAGTTTTCTCATACTTGGATTATTATTTTCCTGGAAGAGAGAGTATTTATTTAAGGTAGATTGAAAACAACTAAGATAGATTAAAAAAAAGTTAAAAAATGTATTAAAAAGAAGAAAATTTCAAAGAGTATTTTCTTTTAGGATAAACTAATCTTGATTAATTCTCTGTGGTTTCACAGGTAGATTTCCTATTAGATGCTTTGGACAAACCAGGCTGATACAGCTGAAACTGAAAAGTGATCCTTTAAAGCTTGAAGTGTTTTTTTGTTTGTTTTTGTTGTTGTGAAGAAAGCTTAAGGGTAGGGAGAGTACCTTTCTTTAGTCACTTATTAGTTGACCACAACTAGTCTTTCTGTGAAAGCTGATGTTTTTCTTACTCTTGGATTCTATACTCTGTTAGTGGGTTTTTGTGTTATTCTTGAGTTATCGTTAACTTGGTGGTACTGAAATGCATAGACTGTATCAGTGGTCTCCTGATAGTTATTGTGATGAGTAAAAGAAAAATTGAGCAATCATCTCCACTTGGTGTATATATACTGTACTTATAGAAATTGTATGCTTCTGTACCATTATAAAACATAGAAAAGGAATTTTTGAATGAGACAAAAAGGAACTATGCATAGAAGACTTAATATTTTCTTCCTATTTGTCTTTTTTTTTTTTTTTT